GAACCTCGGGGTGTTTGGGGGGGAAAGGGAGGAGCTGCCCACGCTCCCCTCGCCGTGATCTCTGTCACCCCTTGGGAAGGGTCTCTGGGTGGTGACACCGCCTCGCCCTTTGAAAATGGGGTGGGAGCGTAGGAAGAGGAGCCTGCTTATTAAGAGGAGTTAGGAGGTGTCATCTAATTTTGTGGCGGTGACTCCGAAAGGAGAGAAAGACTTTAAAACTGGAGGCTCTATCCTTTGGCAGCTGGTTTCGCCTCACGTCAGAGCTTCACCCAACTTCAGCCTGAGGGCTCCCTGTATTTATTCTGTATTCCACCCTGCGAGGGCTGTGGCAGTGCCTCAGAGAACTGAATTGATGTAAACGCTGGGGAATGTGCAGACTGGGTCGATAAAACACGTTTGTGAAGCTCTAACCTCGTTTTCAGTTCTAGAAGAATGAGATAAAAACCTTAAGGTGATGGTTACATACTGTTTGAACTCAGACTTCAGTGCTTCCATATTAATACTACTACATTATTTAGTGTGACTACCGATATTTGTGAGCATTAACGTTGTGATTTCATTTCTATGCTAATGAATAGAACAGTCGTTTCATTGATACAGGCTTCAATCTGACATTCTTTCCTGTTTTGTTTCCCCTGCAGTGGAATGAAATTACAAAGTACTTCAGAGCGGGCATGCCCTTAAGGAAACACAGGCAGCACTTCAAAAAGCATGGAAGCTGTTTCACTGCATCAGAGGCTGTAGACTGGCTCCACGAAGTATTAAGGAATAACAGTAACTTTGGTCCTGAAGTGACGAGGCAGCAGACTCTTCAGTTACTCAGGAAGTTTCTCAAGAATCATGTGATTGAAGATATAAAAGGGAGATGGGGATCTGAACATTTAGAAGACAACGGTGTCCTGTACAGGTACTGGAAGGAGAATAAATGAATAGAGCTCTTCAGGCTGAGAACTTTAGTTAAAAATCTTAATTCTCAGATTCTCAAAAATAGCTCGCTTGGGGTTGAGCCAAAACTGAGTTCTTAGCACCATTTTACTCCACTTGCTTTTTTGCTTTCCTCTGCCTTGCAGTAAACACCATACATCCTGTCTGTTCAGGGCTCTGCCTGTGCTTTTGTCCAGCCAAGTTTTCCACTGGCATGTGTGCTTTGGAGAGAAGCCAAGGAGACTTCACTGCTTCACTGTACCTCCGTGCTGTGCTACCCATCCTCTGTTCTCTTGTTCTTCTTTCTGCCTTTTTCCTGTGTTCCCTTTTTCTTCTACATATTATGGAAAGTCTGAAGTGGGAAACAGACTTTCCTAAGTTCTTAAAGTTACTAGCAACCCTCACTTCTGATTTTTCCTCTCAGGATGGTGCCCAGGAGGGTTTGGGATCTCTCCAGAGCAGGAGACTCCACAGCCTCTCTGGGCAGCTGCTCCAGGCTCGGCCACCCTCATCATAGGGTATGATTTTGGTTAAGTGACTTATTTTTAATTCATTCTATGTGTTTAACATCTCTCCTATTCCTTACAGATTTCCTTCAACGTCTCCAGTTAAACCTCTACCAAACTCTTGTCCCTCAAAAGAGAACTTGGAAAACTTCTCTAGAGACAAAGAAAGACTTTTCAAACTGCCACATTTATCCAGGAGAGCTTTTAAAAAACATGAGTTACTACAATCTCTGGTAATAACTCTAGATTTCTTACATAATTATAGTTACCATGCCATTTCTTTATTCTTAAAAACAAAACCCAAACCCACCCAGGAGCTACCATCTTTTAGTGACTCTGCTCTGTTGTATCATCTTCCCTTCTAGCTGAAAAAAAAAGTTTGGCAGAAAACTCCTTCAGTGCAGATTTACCCCAGCTACAGTATTTTTTGAAGGATTGGGAGGGAAAGTGGAGTTCTAGAAGTTACATGGACAATATATTCCTGTTGGAATTGAATATATTTGGGACAAGTAAAAGGCACAAATTATTTAACTGTTCTGCTTGCTTTTTGATGGAATGTGAGGGGCTGGCCCTTTATTCTTTGGTGATTTGGGGGTGTGTGCTTTGAGTTCACATGGTGATCCTGAAGGAGGATAATTCACTTCCTAATATATTTGGATTTCACATGTTTCTGTCTTTTAAACTCTTGACTTCTGAGTTGATCAGCTCTTTTTATTAGAGTCCTTTCTTTGCTTTCCAGTGGGGTGTGTCTGTATTTCAGTGCAGAGACTGAGGTTACTCCCTGGAGCATGTTTTGGGATTTATTTCTTACCTTGTTCTGAATTCTCTTTTAAGAGGCTTGTTTCTCTTACAATATACACCACCCATTTTCAGGAAAATGTAGGAAAACCAAACCCAGGTCTAGTTGAGGAAGATGAGGAAGATGCACTGCATAGGAGGGAAATAAGCCAGGAATATGTGCAGGAAACTTGGAGAAACATCATTCTGATGCAGTAAGTAACACATTGTAAGAAGCACCTTCTTGTATGTGTGCTCTGGGCTTGGACTGCCCCAGCTGAGCTTTTGGCTTGCAAATTTTGTTGAAATTCTTAAGATAATGCTTTAAGTTTGATATCTTTTACCAACTATCATTTACAGATGTTTTCTATGTACTTATTAACATTAGATTGTGGCATTTCAGAAATTTTTATTGTCATTTATTGTTGCTGGTTGTTGTTGTAATATATTTTAAGTGACATAGATGCTCTTTCTCACTGATTTTTGTCCTCAAATTGTCCTTCTGGAAGTGAGAGTTTATTAAACAGCAAACCAGCTTAGCAAGTAACTCTTTGAATAGATAAGGGAAGAACTTGTTGGCTAGCATTCAATGTAAACCTTTTGGCCAACACCTCTCTCATCCTCCCTGCAGTTTACAAACCATTTTAGGCCTCCCCTCTTTGGCAGAAGTTCTGCAGCCTTCACAGATAGTTCCTGAGTATGTCATGTACAACATGACCAACACGAGCAGACACGGCGTTGTGGTTTTGCAGAACAAATCAGGTAAGATTTGGGCTGTGCTTAAGGTGCAGTTGCACATAACAATAATTAAAGTCAAATGTTTTCATGGTTACCCCTTGTTTTTTTTGCAAGCTAGAGCACAGGGCAGTCATTTGCCTGGAGGGTTTTGTGGGTGTCTTGCATTCCCTTTTAAATGACATGTGTAGCAATATTTAAAATGAGCTTTACATTTTCTTTTTTTGTATTTATTACAGGTAAGCCACTATTTGTATTAAATCTTTGGGCTTATGTGTAAATAATGTACTCATTTTGTTTCTTTTAGAAGACCTCCCTCACTGGGTGTTGTCAGCTATGAAATGCCTTGCATACTGTAAGTCACCAAACAGCTTATAAGTTCCAGAAACCTATTTTGAGTTAAAAGTGAAATATACTTGCACGTTGGGATTGCTTGTGAGGTTTCATTTCAGGTAATGAAGATCCTAGCTCTAGTTGGGCTAGTTATCCTTCTTTTTTTAGGCTTCAGTGTTCCTTAATCCATTAAATGAGGAGGAGAATTAATTACACTCTAAGCTTTCAGCAGCAGTATGATGTTTGACACCAGGGAAAAGTGAAGAATTGATTGTCACAAGAATTATTCCTATTAACAAAGAGTCATGAAGGGAGAAAACTCAACTGCTTGGAAAAAAAAAAACTGGGTAGGGGTTCTTCTAATGCAATTTTTCAGATGTAAAGGGAATTTCCATTTCTACTTACCAGCTTTGAGCTGGACAAAAAGAGCTCCAAAAGTGTAAGAATACACTTATATTCAACTGAGGAGGCCAGTTCACAGAAAACCAGGGTTTTTTTATTTGTCTTGGAAGAAATCAAACAGTTTTGCACATGGTTTGAGATAAAAGCATGCTTATATAGGCAGCTTTATAATCTGAGGTTTTGAAGTCAAACATTTGAACTGTTTTGTGACAGAAGCAAGCTTTGAGTCAGCAAGACTGAAAGGGGCTACAACTTGGAGAAAACTTGGGGCTTCTGTTTTTTCTTTGTGAAATTTAGAAGGGGGTGATGTTAAATCTGAAACTTCACAAAAAAAATCCATTACCTGAGGCATCAATCTTTGTGTGCTGAAGCAGCTGAGGTGGAACTGCTTGGGAAGGATTTGCTGGGGAGTCATAAGATGAACACAGGATTTCACATATCAGGGGGGGGAAATGTAAAAGTCCTTTCAGGGTGAACCTAATGAAGTTCAAGGCCAGGCTGGATGGGGCTTGGAGCACCCTGCTCTAGTGGGAGGTGTCCCTGCCCTTGGCAGGGGGTTGGAACTGGATGATCTTGAAGATCCCTTCCAACCCAACCCAATCTATGAGTCTAATAAAGGAGTGGTTTTCTTCTTCAGCACGTTCTGTAGCAGACCTGGGTGGCACTCACAGTCTTTCTCCTGGACAGTGACATTGATTTTCATGGAACTTCACAGACCCAAAGTGTCTCTGAGGGTTCTTTTGTCAGACAGGTTTGAAATTGTGTTACCAACATAGACAGATCATGATGTCAACTTCATGTCCTTACAAAATAGGCTTTGAAAAGGTTCTGGAGGAGCAGAGAACAGCTAGACTGACAATGAGGCTGACAATTATTTTATTCTTTTTAATAAAACTTCCTCTGGAGCTACTGTGGCTCCAGAAGTTGAGTGTGCAGTGTACACTCTTGAGAAAATGATCTTTTTTTTAGTCTTCACCATGACTCTTCAACTGCATCCACAAACACAGAGCCCCTCACACACTAAGAGAAGCAGGACAGGGAAGAGTTTGGTGAGTGAATTTAACTCAAAGTAGAAAATCATGCTGAGCACTGGTCTTGGCTGTTTCAATACCTTAATTCCCACATCAGTCCTGTGTTTAGCACTAACAGGTCTTTGTAACCCAAGATGAAAACTGCAAACAAGATGCCTGGGGTTTTGAATTCTCAATTTCTGATCTGAGTGAATTAGTTCAGGAGGGGATTTTCTCTCAGCTCTGCTGTAACCAAATGATTGAGGCAGTCAGTTGTTGCTCTGCACAGTGGGAACTGAAAACACTCATGCTGGCAGGGGCAACACTCCTCCAGTGTATTTCTAGTACCACGTGTGCTAATGTGATTATGATTGTGGAGTCTGATGGTATCAAAGTTAAATTTTCCTCTGGTTCTCTGTGTAATTAAAGCTGCCATCTCCCAGTTCACTGGAACTGGCTTTGTAAGGCAGCTTATTTCATTTGTAGGAGCTCAGTGGAGTGTGAGAACACCAGGCTCCAAAGATCCACAGAGTGTCCTCTCTTACTTGTACCAGGGCCCCTTCCATTCATTCTTTTCTTTATCTGTAGCAGCACTGTCAAGGTTTGTTAATCAGATCTCCTGGATTATTGGACTGTTTGTCTACTTCAGAAGAAAAAAAAATCCACCCTGGGAGTAGCAGTGAACTAAACTTCCTCTGAGGAGCATGACTCCTCAGGGGCTGGGCAGGGGCATCTCATGGTTTTGCTTACCAAGGCTTCAGTGCTGAACTAAAAACTTTAATATATTGCTGGCGTGATTCTTTTCTTGTGAAAATCATTCTTGCAAGGAGAGATTTATGTTGAATTTTGTTATTTTTTGAATCATGGAGCTGTGAGGTTAAATACTTCTTGTGAATTTTCTTTATTCCCCTCTTTTTAGGGCCTAGAAATAATGACCTGAGCCAACCAACCTACAGTGGGTTTGAACGGGACGTGTTCAGAACAGTTGCTGATTATTTCCTCAGCCTCCCTGAGCCATTGCTTACTTTTGAATACTATGAGCTTTTTGTTAATATTTTAGGTATGTATGAATTTAGAAACAATCAGCTGGGGAACAAATCTGTGATTCAAAGCCGACCTTGTCTCCTGATGTCCCCTAATCCACTTGACAACTTGAATCTGTGGAAGATTTGTTCTGTATGACAACAGAAATGCAGTTCTGCCTCCTAACACCCTCTGTAAACTGCTGTCTGAGCCAAGGGTCTAAACATGCAATAACTATAACTTAAAAATAAGGGCTTGTTCCTCTCTGTTCCTCACTATGGCAGCGTGTTAACTCCCTTTGTTCTTGCATGTTGGTTGCAATTACCATGGCAGATTGCTTTTGGACTGAGCTAAATTCCTCTTAGGTTTTACTAACAGAGTCAACTGTAGGTTGTAATAGTGTCTTGTCTTCTCTCTTCAGCTTTCCTTCTGAGCTTGTTCATTTTCACACCACTTGCATCTTAACTTATATTTCATTTTCTGATAGTTCTATGTGGCTACGTCACAATTCCAGATATATGCAGTGGAAAACGTTCTGTCCGAGATCAGAAATGTGACCCACAACCTTCAAAAATGCTTCCCTTGAACTCTTTCAAGTCAACAGAGTGTCTTCTTCTAAGCCTGCTTCGTAGAGAGCCTGCCAAAACCAAGAAAGAACAGGAAGCTTCTAGAAACTCTTCTCCAGAAGAGCTGACTAGCCAAAAACGACGTGCAGAGAAACTGCAGCGGTCTCAGCTGCTGTGTAAACAAAGTAGTGCTGGTAATCTAATAGGAGGAAGTTGTCAGAATATTCCAGGTTTTGGGAATGAACAAGACCCACCTCGAACCTTTAGGACAAGATGTTGCTCTTTGGAAGGACTTGGAGGTGCTGCTTCAGTTGGGTGTAATAAAGGAGGAGCTGATTCCTTCAGGGAAAGCCACGTGAAGATCAGCCTGGGCAGAAGAAGTGGCAAACAGTCACTGCCCCAGGAGCATAACACCAGTTCCAAACTGGAGCAGGAGCATAACACCAGTTCCAAACTGGAGCCTGGGTTGGGTGACCTGTGCCAAAACCAAACCCATGCTCTCAGGAGGGGCTCTGCCTCAACTCTGCAGGATGAGGAGCTACTGGTTGAAAGTCACAGAGGGAAGCAAACAGGCAGGTCTCTGAGTTTCCTCAGCCAGAGGAACTCCAGAAGTTGCTCCAGCATCCATATACCAGTGGCTGAAATCACAGTGAAGCCAACGTGTCATCTTGGTGGGCAAGGGAAACCAAGTACCTCTGGCACGGCCCCTCCAGTGGACTACATCAGGCCCGAGGCTTCTGATATCATCATGAAAAGGAGACTCTGCAGAAGCACCACAGAACTCTCAGAGCACTCTTGCCCTCGCCCTTCTTGTGTGTTGACTGGCACGCCAAGTAAGGCAGCTCCCTGAGGCATGTGGTGTTGGCTTGTGCTGACTAACAGCTCGGCTTCCTTCATCTCTTCACTCTTCCCAGGGGGGCTCATAGGGGGTGTAATGAGCTGTGGGGGTTTAAAACATTCTGGCTGATGAATTTACACCGTGGAAAGGCAGCCCCCTTTGTACCTCTGCTAACAAACAGCAGTGTGTGGTATCTTTGGAGTCTTAAAACTTGATGTGTCACAGTTCACTCCCCTGCCTGCTCAGGGAAGTGGGTGTGATTCTGACCTAGACACTGTCAGTGAGGTGGGGAATCAGCCCAGAGCTGCCTGCCAGAGGAGGTGCCTTTTTCTGGTCTTTGAAATGCATATTTTTTTTCCTGGGGAGAACATTAGTGTCACTTCTTAATTGGCTTATGGTCTTAATTGTACCAGCAGTTTATCCCAATGAAGCAAGCTGAAGATGACCATGCCAAAAGAGGCCAGGTGACATTATCTGCCGCGTTCCAGCTGATGGCTCTGAAACGTATCAAAAAGGGACAAAATTTCTTACACGGAGCTTAAAAACAGCCTTAAAAAAAAAAAACCCTGATTCTGGCCTTGCTGACAGCTGTCTTTACAACCCACT